AGATATACATTTTCCCACAACAATCCCCACAGCCTCCACTCACGGTTCCTGAGCATAACCCTTAACCCGACACTGCTCCCCCGGCGCCACACAATGGCAGCCCACTGCTCCCCAAGGGATGGGTTAAATGCAGAGTTCATTTCACCATTGTGGGGCAATAAAGGGATTTACATTTACCTAAACAGTAGGCACCTTTATTTATTTATTTATTTTTTACTGAGAAAGTTGGGACCTGAAACTTTGCTGAGAAGATTTATTCAATTGCAGCAAAATGGAGGAATAGAAATAATGATATTCATAGATTTTAATCATTTTGACTAAAAGCAGAATGTGCTCTAATACCTCTATGCTTCTATGCTGTTTATATGAAAATGTTTGTAAAGTTGGTAAAGTAAGGATTCCACCCTCAAAGCAAGTTATCTTAACATTATATTTTATTAACAGGACCATTAAAAGTGCTGAACATGCACAAAGTAGTGGAGAGAAATGCCTCACGGTTATATAATCAAACTTAGACTAGAAACTTTAATGTTCTTTCATTTAACAGTTCAGGTAAAACAGACAAAGGCCACTTTAAACAAATAGGTGTTTAAATTGATTTAAAGCAACTCAGGGTTTCAACACCTTTACAGCTTTCTAGGAGTTTGTTGAGGAATAATCAATCAATCAACTTTTATTTATATAGCGCTTTAAAACACACAACATGATGTACAGCGGCTTCTTGTGCCATGTTTCCCACAGATGACAGAGCGTTCACTGTATGTAAATAAAAATATAACTCATCAGACAAGGTCATCTTCTTCCATCGCTCCACTGCCAACTTCTATAAACATATGTGCATCCCCGCCTTGGTCTGCAGCTTGGCATCGTTGCACAAATTAAATTGGAAATTAAAAATCGCTCACCAGTGTTCCCTTAATGATCACTTGTTGAAAGATGCTGACCATTGCAGACGAGTAAGGGCATGATAGGTAGCATTTTGGAAAACCCAAATTCTTATCCTTGGTCATAGTTTCTGTCCCTGTCCACAAAGAGATGAAGATATGCAGATATTCACAGTACTAATTAATTGGTTTGTTTAGGTCTTTAAATGTCGCCTCCATGAACATCTAAACTCAAACTTTTAATTTATAAAGAGTTCTGAGTATAAAAACAGTGCAGGAGGAGGCGAGGACAGTGGGTGTAGCAGGTAGAGGGAGACCAGAGCGGAGGATTAATTCCCTGAAGTAAAGAGATGCAGAACTAAAGCATTAATGAAATGAGGAACTGATAGTGGGGACCGATCTGGCCCAGAGAGGCCTGAACAAAAAGAGAAGGATGTGGAGGAGAAAATGGGAAGCTGCTCTTTGCACATACAGGAGCTCATGGCGTGTTTGTGGGGTTTAGATATTGGATCTATGATAGCAGGAAGATGTAGGCGAGAGTAGGACGCTAAAAAAAATATTGTTTATTTACAAGAGCTGTACTTCACCAGACAAAAACAGTCAGGTTTAATATTAGGACCTGTGACTTCTTTAATCTTTACTCTGTCGTGACAAAATAAAACCTCAGTGAAACTCTACGAAATCTCAAACCAAATTGCAGTTTGAGTCACTGTCATGTTTGCTTCTCATAAGTTTGTGATACAACAATCAAAAAGAGAGCAGAGTTGATGGAACGTCACTAACCTCAAAAAGCACTTAGAGCATCTTAATACTGTGCTCCTAGAATGAATTGAGAACCTGACAATGTGATGGGTGGGAGACGGTCTGTTTCCTGCGGCTCTTCGCTCAGTCTTCCAGTCTCCCGGCTTTAATTATTAATGTTACATTGACACACCGCATACCAAATGAAGGAAAGGTTATGAGTCACAGAAATATGAGCAGGCCTGTTAAACAGAAGGAGGGGGGGATTAATAAAAGCTGAGAACTTTGGAAACCAGATCTAGCAGAAGACCCCATTGAAATCTGTATTATATTGTGAGGCAAGGTTATTTACACAGAACAGTTCAGTAGCAAGACCGCTCACTGTGCTTTACTTAACATGAAAATATGATCTATTATAAAATGAAAGGAAATTGGATGACAAACCTCAGCTAATAATGAATAGATAGCTCTGTCCAAGTGTTAGAATAATTGTATATAAATGTATCTGTGTAGTGTTATCATGCATAAAGCTGTGTGCTATCTGCATGTGTTTATAGCCATCTTTTCTGAAGTATACTGTGATTTGTAAGATTTGCTTTTGGGGAGCTTGTGGTTGATCTACGGGCAGCACTCGACCTGCTGAACTTTGGTGAACCGCTTCAACCGCTTAAACTTTGACTGAACCCTGAAATTTATAGGATGTTTACTGAGATGCAAGTCTGAATTTTTCATGTTGTTTCTGATCTCTAGAGTAGTCTCAGCTGTTGTAACAAGGGACCCCTGATTTCTAATAACTAGCAAGCAGAACGCTGGGACTGCAGAGTGAGGTGGAGATTGTAAACTCTGTAGTCTCTTCCTACTCTCCTCGCGAGTAAAACAAAATTAATTGTCTCTGTGCCTTCTTTCATTCCCTGTATGTATGTATGATGTTTTAGGTGCTTAGGCCTGACACCAAATAAATACCCTTTTATTCTTGATTTGACGCAACTTATTATTTATTTATTTTTTTTTTTTACAGTTTTGTGTGAGCTTATTCCACATCAGTGGAGCATAAGAACTAAAATCTGCTTGTCAGTTTTTGGTTCTGGTTCTGCAGATTAGATCTGATCCAGGGGACCTGAGAGGTCTGGCTGTCGATCCACTGACAAGAAATCTTAATTGTATTTTGGTTGTAGGTCATTCAGTCATTTATAGACTAACAGAAGTGTTTTAAAGTCTATCCTTAGAGATACGGCGAAACGCTGAAGGACTTTACAACTGGGCTCATGTTCTCCACCTTCTTAGTTCTTGTGAGAACGCAGAAAGCAGCATTCTGGATCAGCTGCAACAATTCGCAGGAAATTTAAAAGGTCCTGCTGAGACATCAGTCCTTTAATCCTTGAGATGTTCTTTAGGTGACAGAAGGACAAACTTGTTCCCGTCTTTATGAGCCTCTGAAGGTTCAGGTCTAAGTTCATCACTAAACCCAGATTTACACCCTGATTGCTGCTTTCTAGCTGGATTAACTGGAGCTGTGTGCTAACTTTTAAACACTCATCCGTTGGTCCAAATTTACTCTGGTTTTGTTTTGTTTATGCTGAAGAAAATGTTGTTCCTTCCATGCATTGATTCCTTCTTAGCATTTACTCAGAGCTGGATTGGGTGCATAGAGTCACCCTGTGACATGGTGATGTACAGCTGTGTGTCATCTGCATAGTGGCGGTCACTTACCGTATGTTGTTTGTTTGACTCTGAGTTAGTTGGAGCATGTAGATATTGAATAGAAGGGGCCCTAAGATGAACCCTTGGGGAACTCCACATGATATATCTACGGTCCCTAATGTAAAGTTGCCTACTGACCCCAATTAACTTCTTTCTACATTATAACAGTATATAATAGATTTCTTCCTCCAACTTTTTTTTTTATTTCCCTTCTTGTCCCTCTAAAATCTCTTGAGATAAAAAAAATACAACACATATAACCTGATGCAGTTCTCAAAAGAAAAGGAAACAGCTTTCCAAGCCAACCTGGGCCTGTGTGGAAAAGATAAACCCATGGAGGGATTTTGCAGACTTGTTTAGCCACACTAGAAGGTGTTAGCGCTCAAAACGAGTGGCCTAAGGTAATGCCCTAGTATCTCAATCAGATGTCTACACTTGGACTATCCTCCATCCATTTCCCGCAACCCTTAAGCCCGCCGGGGGTCGCGAGGGGGGCTGGTGCCTATTCCCAGCTGTCTACGGACGAGAGGCGGAGTACACCCTGGACAGGTCGCCAGTCACTTTGACTATTCCACCTCAAAACCTTCAGGTTTTTATTCTTTATAGCCACCCCGATGCATAACCTAAACATGATTATGCTTTATCTAGACTCTGTCCTGCAGAATTAATGGTTCAGTTATTAATTCCTGTGATTTAGAGGTTTTGGGCTAATATTAAATATTTAATCAGGAGTAGGTTTATTGGCCTCAGATCTGACCTACAGATGCCATTGTTGCTGAGCCACTTTCTCCGTGTTGAATCCTGATCACTGACCATAACTGGGCAAAGCGAGACTAGCAGTATTTCAGATGCTCTTCCCAGTTCACCTCTTCCATCATGCGTACTTGGGGTAACTTTGGTCTGTCTGCAAGGAAGATTCCGAGCTGTTTCCCATCTTCCTCATTAGTGAATAGTGGAGTTTACTGTGGTTCATTGAAGTCTCAAAGCTTTAGAAATATTTTTATCATACTGTCCTGATGGATGTCACTGATTTTCTTAATGATCTTTTTTTAATCTGGAGTTCAGATGTTGTTTTTTGACACGTTTAGTATGTTAAAGTTTAACCTAACAAGGTTAGAATTTTAGGTTGTTTATGTAGGTTAAATTTAAGTGATTTTTTTTTTATTCAGATTGCTGTTCAACTTTCTAAAATGTAAATCTAAAAAGTTATCTAAAATGTACCCCCCTCCCTCTGTTAAATCATAATAAGAGGGAGAGGGGTAGTTACTTTTTCACAAAGCTAAGTTTGGAAAACAGTTTCCTTTATTAAATAAAATCATATTTTGTATTTTCTAATTTAAGTGATCATAACTTCAACCTCACCTTTAATAGGTTTTCTTCTTCACAGAGAGGTTTTAAAAACCTTTATGAATGTTGTTAATTCTGCTTATTTTGACCCTGATTAGTGCTTTTGATGAAACTATTCTATCATTAATCAGTTTAAAAAGTCTGAATCAAGTCGTCTTGTTTTTAACCCTCTTCTAAATGTTTGTGAAAAGAAAACACACAAAGCCTGAGTGGACTGCTGCCTCTATTATCCAAGTATTGAACGAGAGGTTTTGTCGGGACAAATCAATAGCGGCGTCCTGTTTCTCCTGGAACAGAAGTGACACAGTCGATCCTCTTGTCTTTCAGGGGAACAGTGGAGGCACGCTTTGTTTACGTCTTCGTTCTGGGCATCCTCTTCTCGGGGACCAAGGACCTGCTGAGATCCCAGATCATCACTGCAGATGCAAAGCTGAAGAGCAGGGGATTATGGGAGATTTACAGCGGCCTGGTTTTGCTGGTTTCCCTCTTGTTCCGGGCCCATAACCTGCCAGTGCTGTGCTGCTGCCTTTTGATCCAGACACTCATGGCTCGGTTTATATGGAGGAAACTCCACTATGACGCAGCCCAGACCACCATCATGCATTACTGGTTTGGCCAGGCCTTCTTTTACTTTCAGGTGAGAACCACAACCTTATACATCTTCATTTTTCCAAGAAGTCCCAATACTGATATGAGCAGTTTTGTTTAAAACACAAACATTAACTCCTCTTCACATGTATTTTGAACCTTTTTTGTTCAGATTCAATACATCACAAACACAAGTTCATGCTTTTTCTCTTTTAGAATACTCATATGAGTATTCCAAAATCTCTCTCCTCCTCACATGGACCTGTTTCTGTGTGCTAATGTCCCCTTTTGTCAGATTAATGGACGAACCAACCTCACTTTACTTACTTACTTGGATTTATCACTTTATTTGGATTTAGTTTTTACATATGCATAGATATATATATATATAGATATATGTTTCTATATATTTTTTCTGTTTTTATTCTTATTTTTTTATCTTTATTATATTGTGTAGTTGGATGTGTGTTTGTATATATATATAGATATATATATATATCTATATATATATCTATATATCTATATATAGATATATAGATATATCTATATATCTATATATATATATATAGATATATAGATATATAAAACTGTCACTGGAGCGTGTAACAAGAGTAATTTCCCTCTGGGATTATTAAAGTATTTCTGATTCTGATTCTGACAAAGTATAGAAAGGAATTCCCGCCTTTTCCTGGTTGCGGCTAGTAACATTAGCATGAACATTTTCCCAGGGTTAGCAGATTTTGATGCTCTGAATGTTGAAGGACATTTTTGCAGAACTTTAGATGTTTGATCATTTTCATCCTAAAAACTCCTCGATTTATTATTGAACTAGATATTATTGAGCTCATTTAAATGAGTTTATGCTGAGTTCTTATACCTAACTCTCTCTGTAAACCAGGATCTGAATCTGTTTGGAGGCAGACTGAAAAAGTGGGTTTGAGCTGGACCAGAGTTCATAGGTTTTAATTCACACCCACACAAAAGCTTCGGACCAAGTGGATAAAGAAACTCTGGTCCATTTAAATCAGACTAAATGTGTGTGTGAACGCACCTAAGTTACATATGGAAGCATGTTAAAGTCACCTTTTATAATTTATCCATTTTAGCTGTAATAATGTGATTAAAGAGCAGCTGAAGGTTGCTTTGGCAGATAAATGTAATTAGGATTTGATTATTTGTCTCATCCACTGTCTGTTTGAGACTCCCTTAGAGTAGACAGCTTTATCTGTTTTTGTTGGAGACCACCAAACAATCAGCGTCCTTGGACATAGTTTGTGTTGCTATTTTTAGTTAATCAGCTTTTTTGTTTTTTGTTTGGACTAGAAACAGCAAACCAATAGTAAAGACAAAGTGACCTCTACTCCTATTGTCATCCTGTTATAGTACATGTTTGGCCTTTATGGTCTTTAAATGGACACACAATTTAGCTTATCTTAGTTATGGGTTCATGTACGTGACGGGAGGCGAGTAGTTTCCAAACACTGCAAAACACTAAAAAGGAAAGCCATTTTTCTTTTTTTAATAAATGCATATAACCTTGTTTGGGCATGTAAGACAATTTGCCAATGAAACGTAAATATTTAATGTTTAAAATAAGGAAAAAACAATTGCCTTGTATTATTTAAAGTGAGTAATACAGTATCTAATTACAGTGGCACAGGATTTAGTTTACACTGCAATCGAAGGGTTGTCGGTTCAAGTCCCAGCTCCGGGTTTCAGTGTTTTTTTTTTTTTTTGTCCTTGGTGACAACCCTTCACCAGCATTGCCTACTGATGGTGGTCAGAGGATCAGTGGCGCCTGTGTACGGCAGCCTTGCCCTGTTTCCCTTAGCCCAGACTCACAGGAGCAGGCAGCTGCGTCGTCCTGAAAGCCCCGTATGCAGACAGAGCAAAGACAGCAGACTGGAGACCGACTCCATGTTCCCACAGCTGATGTATAACACATCCACAAAGCTGCCGATGGATCACAAAATTTTATTTAAATGTCTATAAGTGTTTAATAGTCTCACAAAGAGATAATCATCCTAACTTAAAGCCGGCATTACGGTTTTTGCCTAATAAACCAGCAGTAGAATAAATGTTGGGTTTTAAATTTTCTTTCATCATCTTTCACCTTTTGGACAACGTTTAAGACTTTGTCGTCACTCAGTCATGTGTGCACAATAAAACAAAAACAAATTTCTATCCTTTAAAGAACTAGTAGTGCAGCAATTAACACCAAGTGGTCTGTTTGCCCCAAACTTGTTTTTGGCCGTCAGGGCATCTGGTGTGCATGTAAAGTGAGTTGTAGACGCCATCAAGGCACGTCTAAAGATCCAGCACCACGATGAGAGCGGCGAGTCTTGCAGAATTTGAGTGTTCAATCGAACATCTGAACTTATAAACCAATCAGAGAACTGATTGAAAAGCTTTCACTAACATCTAAGCTGTGATCTCTCCCTGCAGAGCTGTCAGCATAAAACTTTTAATTCTGCTGTATAATAGTCTCTCTTATTTTGCTTCTTTTAACGGCTGCACTAAAATATTAACCTAATTATCACACAGCTTGATGGTGAGAATTATGTTCAATTTGCATGCTTTCTAAGCCAAAGCAAGGCTTTGTTTTGGGCTATGCTATAAAGCCTGGATCTCAATGCTAATTCTGATATTTTGAATTGAAAAATCTTCCTGGATGGGAAGCGAAACGTTTCAAACTTGGAAACAAAGTCTAGTGGATTTTTTTTTTTTTACTTTTTTGGAATTCCACAGCTTTTATTATTTATTCATCTCATAATGCGCGTGCCTCTATTTACGCTGTTTTTGGTAAAATTATACGTATGCAGTCTGGATTCAGGCAGTGGATAGAAATGCATACATTATTTGTTGCATTTCAATAACACTTTAACAACAATGACGGAGTTAATTACAATCTAGATTCAGATACCCATTACATAATTCTGCAATTGAATTAAGTTTATAACAGTTTATTCTTAAAACCCCAATTCACAAAAATCTTCAGTCAATTTGTTCATATATAAAAATCAATTTTATATATGAAAGCTTAAAGAGACCATTCAGTGATATGGACAGATCCACACTCGGCTACATACATTCCAACTTAATCAGTTATACATCTATGCTGCCAAATTTTGTAGTTTTGCTCTCTGATTGGTGTTATTTTAAGGAACTCGACCAGATTTATTATTGTAAATAACCGTCCTCCATAGTTTAACAGTTTAGAGCAACACCTGTCAAACAAGCCCAGTTTATATTGATTCTTAACTTCTGGCCTCTGTCTATAATAGGCTGGTCAGATGGTCAAGTGTTTTTTTTCTGATTGTCAAAGGCATCTAATTTAATGCTCTAACAAACTAAATAGAGATTTAGGGAAACTATTACCTGCAATAAATTGCTAGACGGTGTTTGAGGAGGACTACTGAGCCGCTTCTGTTCTTATGTGAACTCCATTACTCTCTCCCTGCTCCTAGCAGAGGGACGGTTATTACCAGTCGATGTTTTCTGATGTTGAATGTGCCTTTAGAGGCAGATATGACGCCTGGGTTTTTAATTTACGCTCCCCTCACAGCAGATATTTGCTTCACAGCTGTTCATTGTTGTCAACAGAATCTCCACGTTGCTATCAGTTCAATAACCCTCATCAGCCCTTGGGTCATTAAGGCTGTGATGAGCTCGGGATTACACCATCACCAGACAATTTCCCATCCCTGTGTCCAGGCATGTAATTATAGAGCTGTGGATGAAAAATGTTCTGAAGAGGACACAACTCTAATGGATGTGTAGAGGTGTCACATGTAAAATGTTGGGAAAAACTGATATTTGCAGAAAAATGGGGCTATGCTAAAAAAAATGTTTTAACCCAGGTATTTTTTTACCTTAAATCCATTTCAGATAGGGGAGTTCCAAATGTTTCGTTCATTTTTGTATTAGAAAATAACTAAGGTCTCATGTTAGTCCGTGACACCCGAGCATGATGGGAAATTGGTTCAGATAACTCTGGCAACAGAAACAGCTGGTTGGATAGTTGGAGACCCACTCTGGTGATTATGCATCACAATCAAAGCATTTAGGTGTGTAAATCAGAAATCCAAGCAAAGGGATGTGCTTCATGGTTATATACTGGTTTATGCTGCGTTCACTCCGTATGTCTTGTGAGCATCAAAAAGGAGTCAAACCCCTCTCTTTATACACCTGTGCACATTGCAGTCAGATGCATGTAGAAAAGAGTTTTTGACAGCAAAGTGTTTACAGACACATCTGACACGCATTGCTGGTCTCTACAGTAGGAAGAACATCACATTGTAGGATTTTAAAGAATTTAAGAAGAAGAAAAACAGAATTTGGTCAACGACAAAAGTTCAGCTCAATTGTTTCCTGTCAGTTTTCACCAGGTTTGCTCTCAACTTTATTTTGGCCCATTCCTCCCTCCATCTCCTCTAGAGTAGAGATATTTTGGGCCTGAGCTTGGCAACACATTTCATCTCCCTCCATAAATTTCATGCAGGGTTGCGGCCTGGGGGACCGTTTAGCCAACTCCAGGACCTTTGCTGCTTGAGCAGTGTGTTTGATATCATTCTGATGCTGGAAGACCATCCAACTTCCATCCTCAATGCTCTCATTGATGCAAGGAGGTTTGGGCCTAAAATTTCACCATTATTGGCCCTGATCCAGGGTTTCTGCGGGTCATTAAAAATAATTAAAAGTCATTAAATTATAATTTTTTTAATTAAGGCCTTAATTGGCATTAAAATGATTAAATTTGATAATTGTGGCATTAAAATGCTTTGGAAAAGAAGCTTGAGGCAGGGAAAAGGCTAGAGAATGGGGAAAATGCAAATTTGAACCAAAGTGGCGGGAAAACGAGGAACTTGGGACATGGCTGCAGCCTGTCCATGGTGAAGATGGTGAAGGGCATTAAAAGAGCATTAATGGTTGTATTTACTCATCAGCTGACTGCAGATATTTGATGGGATTTTTTTTCTTGGTCATTTCTGTCATAAAGTTCCTATAAGATTAATGTCTGTTAGTTGTCTTATTGTGATAAAATGTTAAAGTTAATGTAAAACTTCAGTTTTTGGATTTGACCAGATGATCGACCAGCCTGTATAGCCATTATTTTTTCCCCCGAAAGGTTCAGACTCCACCACTTGGATACATCATCAGATCCTCCTGCTTCACATCTTTCATTTCAGATCATTTTGTTTTCTGTCTGAAGGGTCTCGCTGTTCTATACTTTGAAGAAGCAATAAATATGAAATGTTTGCGCACAATGACGTTAAGAACATCCCAGCGGGATTTCAGAGAGAAATCAAGAAGGGCGTCTATAAGCGGCAGCCCCCGGCCTGCTTAGTCATAGTCCCTGTTTGTTGAAAATGGAACCAGCTGTTGGTGTCTTCTCCCTCTCTGATCACAGACGTGTGCACAGATGGAGAAGAACTGTTACTTCTTGTTATGCAGCCCACAGATCATCACTGCAGAAAGAAAGTCAAGTTTGATTTTCACTGATTTTTTTTATTTTGTCTGATATTGAGCAGAACAAACATCAAACAGCAGTCTAAGTGCAGTTTCTATAAACATCAGCTATAAATGATGTCTTTTTGAAGGAAAGGTATTATTAAATACGATATTTTCTGTCTAGGCTTATGTGATAAAGGGTTTAATTATAATGATTTAGACTGATTTATGCTCGTTTTTGGTGACAGCTAAATTAAAGTGTTCCTGCAAACGTTTGTAAGATATTTCAGCCACAAATAAAACCAAAAAATAACAATGCAGTAGACAAGACACCCCCGAAAAATACATATCATTACTTTACTCTATATTTATTACATACACTATATTTATTACATATAAAGTGGAATAATTATAATTGATTTCAAAATAATCATTTTTAAGGGATTTTGAATAACTTTTTAATGGAATATTTTATTATTTAATTAATCGTTGTAAATGCATGTTTATTTGCAAATATGCCATTTTATTTGATTGTGGGTGTTACAATTTATTGCTTTATTTTATATTGATCAGATAAATATATAAAACGTGATTAACTGGATGAATCATGATAAACTGGTAATTAAAATAATCATTAACTAATTGGGGAATCGAATCCTTAACAGATTAATGGCAGACAGAATCTACTTACACTACTAATTTAAACTCAACTGTAAATATAAACTATAAACATAAAATATCTACAATATATATATATTTTTTTATTTATTTGGTGGTCTGGCTGCTGACTCCCTGTTAGGTCTGTCTGTGGTCTTAGTTGCATGAACTTAGATGTGTCTTAATTTTCTCCACCCTGCAAAACTGGTCTAAAATTAAATAAAACATTCTTAAAGCAAGTGTAAATGCCCTTAGTTTTAGCTGGAAAATCAGATGATCTGCTAATGGAATGAGTATTTAAGTCTTTAAAATAAAATAATAAGATATTATGCACTTTAAATAAAATATTTGAGTTGTTATTTTTTCTTATTTTCAACATAAATCTTCTAAATTGATTTGCAAATTGTTACTTACCTACTCAAAGCAAGCAAAGACTTAAACATATGTTTTTGCACTGCATCCCTTAAGGTTAAGAGTTCTTAACAGCCCTAAGGCAAAACTAATTCACCTGCAAATATGAAACCTAAGTAAGTATTTTTGTTGTTGTTGTTGTTGAAATAAGTCTATTCCCCTCAACGAATGGAATAATTTAATTTGTGTTTAAAATTATAAACACTTCCATTATGTTATTTCAAGTGCATAACATCTAATTATAAAATACTCCTTCCATTGTCAAGTTTTATGATTTTACCTGCTCAAATTAAGGGCAAATAAACTTAATTAAAATTTTTTTTACATCTTTTCAGATCAATTTTTGCAGTAAAGACTCTTAAGAGACAGTGATAGTACTATAACCTGGATTGTCATGAGATCTGACTTTAGATTTAGGCAACTTGTATTTTCATTTTGTATACAGAGTATACAAAATGAAATTTCATCCTGTTTTGTACAGTGAGCAACAGCTTAGCAGTGAAATGAACATTTTCCTCCCATAAAGTGCAGCAGTGATCAAACGTAAACAGAATCTGAGCTTAGTTTTCAGTCTCACAAGAAATGCATCTTGAAAACCTCCCGCTAATACGTCCGTTTCGTAACATCAGCGTGTCGGACCAATGACATGCCAGCAGGGTTTTTTTGGGGCGGGACATGTAGGAATGACGATGTTCAGAAGGGCCTTCCAAGGTCATTACAAACATCGCTACGCTGGAGGAATCACCTGTCGAAATTAAAAATTGACAATTTTAGCTAAAATAGCAACAATCTCTTGTTTAAAAAAGGAGCAGAGAGAAACACTTTGATTAATCAGCTTACTCCGCTAGTTGTGAAAACACTCAAGAAGCTGCAGATGAGTCTTATTGTGATCACCATGTCCGTTGGTGGCTCTCATGGACGACCAATTTGCCAAAGCTATTGAGCCTGAAACGTCACGATTCGCTGCTACGATTGGCTGAAAGCATTTTATTGAAGGCGGGTACTAGCTGGCACGTCACCCAATCAGCTGGAAGTATTGTACTAAACGTCCCTCCTTTTCACGGACAGACTGAACGGCAGCCATTACAGATTGATAAGGTAGAACTCAACTCAGTTCTACACATCAATCTGGCTACCACCAGGTTAATAGTGCGCATTTCTTCATCATAGTCTTATGAAGAACCTGTTCTAGTGTTTTCTTTTACCCCATTTACACTACCCTTGAAAAACTGTGTCGAGACCGGTCCGAGCTAAGTAACTGAGATAACTTATCGTGTGTAAATGGAAAGCAAACTGAACTGAACCGAGCTAGACACAACCGGACCGCGCTTACTGCAGACCAGTTCCAGAGGTGGGCTCGGCTCGGTTTTTCCCTGGCTGATTCTCTGATAACAAGAGCGTATGAGCAGAACGCGTCATCTCCGTCTGGCTGCACATCCCGATTCACACTCCATTCCAGTAGTTGGCGGTAATGCCCCTCCGGAAGTTGCTTGCCAACCAACGCAAAACAGAAGAAGAACAACAACTATAAACAACAATCGAAATCTTCTTCTTCTTCACAACTTTTTGGTGCATTACCTTCACCAACTGCCTGATTTCCTCCTTCAATACTGGCAGTAATACCGCAGATCGTCACTAGGAGGCGAGAAGTCGAGGAACCGAGATAGAGTGATGTGTAAACGGTCGTCAGAACCGAGCTCGGCCTGGTTAACTGATCCGAGCTTGGACCGGTCTCGGCATGGATCGGTTTTTAAAGGGTAGTGTAAATGGGGTATTAGTGTGTTCTGTAACAGACAACATGTCGATCTAGAGGCTGTTTCACTTTTAAATAACTTATCTGCTTTGAATCAACAAAAAAAAGGCGGTTGTGAATTTTTTTTCATACCTTCAGCACTTTCCTTTTACTTTGTATATTATTTGCTATTCATAATACAAAGTGTTTTGGCAAGGAAACAGGCAAATATTTTGTAATTAGCCTGAGTGGGGGAAACCCCCCCCCCCCCCCCATGTCCAGTCTGGAAGCTGTGTTTTGAAAACAGGAATAATAATAAAAAACCAGAGGACGCTTCCTTAAAGTGCTTACAGCTGCAGATCCTTATGTGTCCTTGTTTTTGTCTGTAGACGGTTATTCCTGCCCCCTCATCAGTGCTCTAAAAGGTTTCTTTGTGCTCCTGCAGGGCAACTCCAACAACATAGGCACCGTCGACATCTCTGTGGGCTTCGTTGGTTTGGAAAGCTACATCGAAGCGCCTGCCATCTTTTTAACAGCTCTCAGCACTTACGCAGGTCCCCTCCTCTGGGCCTGTCACCTCGTCTGCTACCTGAGCTCAGAGAGAGAAAGGTAAGTGTCACTAAGTTGATAAGTGGAGGAGCTTCATCGCTTATCGCAGCCTGAGGGTTTTCAGGAATGAAGGTGATAGTGTATAAACTTACCACTCAGCTTAATGTGCAACCACATCTCATTTTAAAAAGGAAGGTTATTTGAGTTACTGTAAATATTAGAAAATCAATCAGTTATTTCTTTTTTTGTTTTGTTTTTTGTTTTGGAGGGATTTTGATTCTTCTCTAAATTAGCTCAAAGGTTCTGATGTTTTCTCCCCAACCGCTAATGCAAACGGCTTTTATTAAATCCAGAATTCTGATGTTTATTGCTGAAATCTTCTACTCTCAGTAGATCAGGCATCTAGCATCATATTGACTGCAGAACTTTTCTTCACATGAATCTGAGTTAAGTTCCAGGTTTGCAGCTTTTAGTGACACCATCCATGTTTTTTTAAGGTTTGTCTGTTCTGCTGATCTGAGATCTGTTGTCCAGCCTCCTTTGGAAAACCAATCACTTTCTCAAAGTCTGGAGCTAATCTTTTCTTTCCATTATTGTTCCAATCAGAGAACACATTTTTTTTCATTTGAATTGAAATTCCTATAGAAATTTCAAACAAAAAAATGGAATCCAAAAATGAAACTGAAAAACGTACAAAATAAGCATTTAACTCTGATAACTCCGAATGCATAAAAATTACACCAATATAGACATGTTAGTCATTGTTGGAAAGCTTAGATTCTCCAAAATTTAACCACCTAGTTAATTTAATGGACACAGCGTGCACCAAAGCACAATTAACAGCATGTCAAAATGTAAACATGACAAAGCAGCCACAACAAGCAAGCATGTCTTTACTGCTGCTGTTCAAAAAAGAACTATTATTTTCCAGAATAAAAAAAACAACTTTGAGTCATGTTAGAACTGATGCAGTGTTTGTTTTACTCACCCAATCTTAATGTGTATTTTTAGAAACTAGAAGGTGTTAGCTTTCAAATAATGTATCACATGTAATTTGGGCTTACTGTTCCTAAGTTATTAGCTTTTCCACTTGGGTATGCAGAATAGGCGAGAATTTCCCAAAATGAGGTGGATGTTGAGAGGATTAAAAAAAAAAAAAAAAAATCCAAATATTTTTTGTTTTTCTAATCTTTTCTGTTACAAATTTTATATTTGAAAATATTTTCAGATTTCTTTTTTTTTAGCTTAAGTTTTATGAAAGGTTTTCTTTTTAAATTTAGTTTTAAAGTTGACATTAGCTTCACCTGTGGGGGCGGGCTCTCCTCTGGAGGGAGGGGCAAAGATGCATTTCTATTCGTCTGCTGAATGTTAGCAATGGCGTTTTATTTGTGTTTGTATTGGGCTTTAAGTGAAGAGAATGTGATCTGGAAAACACAATATGAAAAGAATAAAATTCTTAAACTCAGTCTGAAAAAACAAAATTTGAAAATTATTTTAAAAAAATATAAAGTTTGATAAGAGACAATATGAAAAAAGAAAATATGAAAAAAATAACTTTTTGAAATAAGAGGTTTTTCAAAATTTTATTTCTGGATTGCATTTTTATTTAATTTTCTTTAGTGTTTTTTGCTGCAACAGAAATGGACCAAAATTTAATGCGTATAAAAGCGGTAGATTCTAAGGTAAGGAAGTTGGTGTCATTTCTGTGTCTCTAAGTTGGTGGTGATTTATTTTTGATGTGAAATTAAATTAGAGAAATTTACCTCTGCATTTAACCATCCCTTTGGGGAGCAGTGTGCTGCCATTGTGCGGCACCCAGGGAGCAGTGTGTGGTTAACTGTCTTGCTCAGAGACTCGGAATGGAGGCAGCGGGATTCAAACCGGATACTTGCAACCTTCTCAGAGCACAAGCGCACTGCTCTAACCGCTAGGCCAACACTCCTTTGCTGAAGTTCCTTTTATAGAAAACAGTAAAAAAAAAAAATGATTACAGTTAGTGTGATTGGCTTTTAGAGTCTTTGAAACATTTAATTAAAGGATCCTTTAACCAAAATGCATCTTTATGTTTTAGATTAGTTACTAATTTGCCTTGATATTGTCTTATAAAAACTTGCCTGTTTAAAATCTATCAGAGTCGTTTCACATTTTGAACCCTTTCACTGTTTCACCAGCTGCTTACTTTCATGCTCAGTCTGTTCTGCTTGTCGCAACAAAAAGCTTCAGGTATAATCCCACCCCCTCAAAATAATGTAATCTGAAATGTCTCGCCTTTAGGAAACTTCTCAAAAATATTTGAAGTCTAATGTCTTCGTCTTCAGCCTGATTGGGTTTGTCGTCTCGCCTTGTCAGCCGTGTCGATTGTAACAAAGAAAATGCCTCGTTGTGCTTTCTTTAGCAACCATCACCTGCTGTGTGTTTGTCAGTTAAAAAGTACTCTGACTGCTGGGAAGAGATGGTTCGTCAAATTATCACTAACAAGCCGCCAGATTTCCAGCTAATTAAAGGTACAGTTGATGTTTTGTATATGGTGCAGTAAGAGTGTAATTACCACCAGCAATAATACCATAGATTCAGGTGTATGTAACAACATAACTGCTTTCCTGTAAAGCTGCATATTACCTATAAGACTTGTTGCTATTTTCAAACTTATCATTTAGCAGTAAATCTTAACAAACATCCCTTTTAGTAGAGGTATTCAACTCTAGTCCTCGAGGTCGGCCACATAGGTGTCTGCTTAATCTGAATTTATCAAATTCTAGTTGCTAGAGCCTCTTCCTTCAACTTCTGTTGGGTCAACAGTAAGAAGACTATCTTGGGTGCAAAAGGAAGTCCAGACTGCAAACTGGATCTAAACAGCCTTCAGCCTACAGAGATTACACCATGGAAACATACCTCAATGACGGGGGGGGGCAAATTTAGACTACAGCGATCGAAAAAAAAACTACAAAAGTTACACAAATATAAATGATTTTTTTTTTATTTCAATTTATTTATTTATTTATTTAGTTTATTTATTTAGTTTATTTCAAGAGCACCAATTCACAACACACGTCATCTCAAGGCATTTTACCGTTCACCAGATCATACAGTCAGATTGATTCAAAGTTTTCTATCTAAAATCCCTCACACTAAGCATGCTTGTAGCGACAGTGGAGAGGAAAAACTCCCTTTTAACAGGAAGAAACCTCCAGTAGAACCAGGCTCAGTGTGAGCGGCCATCGACCGAGGCCGACTGGGGTTCAAGGAGATAGAGGCAGAAATACAAAAGGCAACTGTAAAAGTCCAGGCAACACACAGCCAGGCGGATGAGCTCTGAGCCAGCTCCCATGTCAGAGGATGAAGAGAGCACATCCAGTCAGCCACAGCCAAAGAAACAGGACTACACTGGAAAACAGGCCAATAAATAAAGGTGTTGATGGCAGCAGCACAACTGATAATTCTCTCCAGGATGGTGTTTTATAAGTTATCCCTTATAAAACCCTAAACAAGGTGTGAAATGAAAATTTTTCACACGGAGTCGACTGCAAAAGTATTTCTGTTCATCTCTATGAGGTGTCCTGTGCCTAAAGGTCCTATTGCGTGAAGGATCATGGGATTCCCTATAGCTCCTCATGAGGCTTTAAAGGAGCTATTATGGGACGGATAACTCTGTCCTTACTTCCTGCGCTATTTGGACAGCACTTCTTACAAAATCTTCTTAATGACTTGATTATTTGACTCAAGTTAAATCAGAGACCAGAGATGGGTAGTAACTACTTACATTTACTTGAGTAACATTTTGCAAAAAATGTAGTTTAAGGAGTAGTATACAGTGCCATACTTTTAGTGGAGTAATATTCTTGTAAAGTATCGGTACTCCTACTTGAGTAAAATCTCTGACTCATCTGTCCTCTGTGAGTAATTTGAACTGTTCCTTGATCATGTAAATATACGGTAAACATCAGATATTAACAGTGGAAATTCATTTCCAGTCCTAACTTATATACATTTCTCACTGTAAGGATTGGTTTTCTAAGTTTTATGCAAAAAAATATTATTTGTTAAAATTATTTCTACTGCATTAATTTGTTATTTTATATTCATGACATTTATTAGTATTTTTTTTATGCATTTGAGTTTTTAAAATGCCAGAAGTTACTCACAAAGTCTGTCAGTCGACATCATTTTAAAACATTAAATCAGACGTTAGTATCCAACAATTTTTACCAAATACTTTTTTACTTTCATTTCAGTCACTTCTTGTATGACTGCTTTTTACTTCCTGCCCTTTAATAAATTTTTTGGGTACTCTACCCACCCCTGGTAGAGACACATCTATGTTGTGGAGGGCAGTGGACCTTAGGGACTGGAATGAGGGAGGTGTGCAAGGCACATGGGAACAGATGTCCTTAGCTGACTCCTCTCGAGGTGGAGGAGGAGCAGCTCTACTCCGAGCCTCTCTGGGATACCTGAGCTCCTTCCTCTAAGGGAAAGTCCAGCCATCTTGCAGAGAAAAATCATTTCAAGTCATTTTTTCTTCAAATAAATGCATTTGTTAGATAAAAGAGACATTTTGCCAATGGAACAAGAGAATGTAGATTTAAAATAAGAAAACACAATTGCATTTTCTTATTTCAAGTGCATTTTATCTAATTATTTTATTTTAAAAGTAAAAATACTCATTCCATTGGCAAACTATCTCATTTACCTACTCAAATTAAGGGTAAATACACTAAATTTAAGACATTTTTTACTTATTTCTAGATCATTTTTCCAGTGCAGTCACTAGTATCCAGGCTCTCGTTCTTTAAATAATGATCAGGATTTCATGACCATTGGTGAGGGTAGGAACATAGACCAACGGGTAAATGGAGAACTTTGCCTTTTCTCTCAGCGCTCTCTTCATCCTGACAGTGCAGCGTCCGTACTATAGCAGCAACTGCAGCGATCCATCTATCGACCTTCTGCTCCTTCCTCCCCTCTTTCCTAAACAGGACCCTAAGATATTTGAACTCCTCCACTTCAGGCAGGAGCTCTCCTCCAACCTGAAGGAGAAAAACCACCATTTTTCGAACCAGAAC